TCCAGTGGGGACATAATTACTGATTATAATGACTTATACTGTCTTTTTATGCGTTGCATTGCATATCGTGCCACGTAAACAAAAAACCATGCCTGCGTTTGTGATCGGAGAAACGATAAACAAGCGCTACTCTACACTGCTCAAAACTCTCATTTGAATCGTCAGTGGCAAATTATTTTAATATGAAAGCGTACTTACAGGCTGTGAGTCAGAAGCGCCAGACTGTCCTTGCAAATTTGGAACTGCCCCACTTTATAGAAACAGCCTTTGTGTGTAGACGGCATTGTAGGCTACTTTCCCAGGTTCAGGAAACAGTCCTCTGTAAAATGCGCTGCACACATGATCTGAATATTTGGGTTGAACCGCTCTTGAACAGTGTTGTAAATACAACTTAACCACTGATTTCTAGTTGTGTCCTCTTTTGGAAGGCCAAACAAAGTAGTTTCGCTTTCACAATGAAACACACAGCGTCTCCATGACAAGGCTGCAGCAGTAACAATACTACAGTGAGAATCAAAGTTACGCCTTCTTTCTTTGCATATACATTTGGGCGGTGTTATGCAAATCTTCCCACACAGTGATGTAGACATGTGGGGGCGTGTTTAAACGAGGCGTTTTAGGAGGGTGTGGACAAGTCTTAACTTTTATAAAGAATATATCTTTGGGTTTGAGACTTTAGTCTTTGCAACTTTAGGGATATTATCTATGCACGAACAGCATGTAACACTCCAAAGAGAAAGGAAAACTTGAAATCGCATCATATGACTCCTTTAAAACCACAGTTTAGGCTTTCAGTTAGGAGCAAAAATCTGCCTTTAAACTTGAAAGAAATAAAGATTTGAAATTTATTGTAATAATTATCAGTATCGATTGACATGAAAAATTTTACTGTGATAATTTTTTTGGACATATCGCCCAGCCCTACTAACAAAAATGTATCAATATTGAGCACATTTTTGCTGTATTTTTGATCAGATAAATGCAGCCTTGGTCAGACTTCTTTCAAAACCATAAAAAAAATCTTATCGACCCCAAACATTTGAAAGATGATATATATATATATATAGTAATGTTTTTAAATTATGACAATTTTGCAGATACTCGAGGTGAAGAGTCCTATGAAACAAGCAAAGATGGACAAAAATAAAAACATTGACCGTGACAAGGTAATCACTCATTTTTTTAAATGCATATGTGTTACATTACATTAATATTGTATATGTAATATGGCATATTTTTAAACATCATATATATTCAATTTTGTCTATATGATTTCCCTGGGAATCCCAGGGCATTGCTAGCACTTTGCTGTTTGAGCTACATGCACACAATGACCTACTAGGCCTGTCACTGTAATATTAATACATGTAAATGTTTTATTGTAAGCACACTGTATATTAAACCATTTAGAAATTTTATTTTGCCACTTGAGGTCCAAAAGCAAAAACAGTTGAAACCACTGCAGTGCAGGACACCATGACATTTTAGACATGCCACGTTTAGTAAGAGCATGATTGATCAATCTGAAACATGTCTCCTTTTTTTTATCTAACATCTCGATCTGCAGGCATACTTGGATGAGCTGGTTGAGCTTCACAGAAGACTAATGGCACTAAGGGAAAGGCACATATTACAGCAGGTAATAAATGAGAAGCATGTACTGTCAGAAGTCAGCTTTCCTAAATCACTCACTTCTGCACAGACAGTTGCACTAAGGGACCTTTGCACATGAGACGCAATGCTGTATTCCCTGTGTTCCCTTTATGAGGGAACATGAGAAGGGACACTTACAAATTCCCTCTCAATGTCCAAGGAAACTGAGTGCTTTACCTAAAAGTTTATAAACCTGTAAAGTTTAAAGTTATTACCCACAGCCAGGGTGCGAACTATGGGAGAGCTAGGGGGAGCTCGGCTCCCTTTAATAAGACACGGGCTCCCCTGAAAACGTGATTTTTTTTTATTTTGGGGGGGGGTCTCAAAAAATATTGACAATGTGTTATTTTGACGTGCAATTTCAGTTTTGTGTAATGTGATCATCGTGGATTATTATGTGTAAAATTGTAAAAATATAATTAATTCATGCACGATTTAAACCTAATTCACTTCAATAAAGATAACTATACATGCTATTCTTGTCATGAGCATCAAGGTGTGGGGGCGCCGCGGTGCAAATTCCACTCATGTTTAGTACATGTTAACTCAAAGATTCGTAGAAAAAATATAAACGCTGGACTCTGTGGTCGATTCTGTGTTAAGGTAAGGCATGTTATTCGCAATTATGTGTTGTGACTGGGTTGTTATAGGTCTGCGTGACTCTCGATGTCTTAGGTGTAATTGAACGGAGGAATTATGTTATTCTTCTGTAGCCTGACAACGAGTAACTTTAACAGTTGTTCATGTGAACTCAAAGACAGCCTGATGCTTTGTTTATAGACTATTTGTGGGTGGCTGTTTGTTGTTTCACCTATCAATTCGTGTCAATAAAGTATAATAGGGTAAATCCTGTATAGTGATTTATCCTATATAGTGCTTGAATAAAGCAAGTAGTGCATACACTTGCAGCTGTTATGTATCTTTGTAAGTCATTGTAAGCCCTCTTTTGAGGCACGCGCAAGTGCACAAACCCATTACCCATTCCCCGTCCCCCGTCCCGTCCCGTTATAAATAAAAAAAACAAAAAAACAAGTGGGCTCCCCCAAAGTCCACGGTATAGTTCGAACACTGACAGCCTGATGCTTTGTTTATAGACTATTTGTGGGTGGCTGTTTGTTGTTTCACCTATCAATTCGTGTCAATAAAGTATAATAGGGTAAATCCTGTATAGTGATTTATCCTATATAGTGCTTGAATAAAGCAAGTAGTGCATACACTTGCAGCTGTTATGTATCTTTGTAAGTCATTGTAAGCCCTCTTTTGAGGCATGCGCAAGTGCACAAATCCATTACCCATTCCCCGTCCCCCGTCCCGTCCCGTTATAAATAAAAAAACAAAAAAACAAGTGGGCTCCCCCAAAGTCCACGGTATAGTTCGAACACTGCCCACAGCATTAACATGTCAATGAATATCTGGCTGTAATAAATCATACTGGTAACACTAGGTTTTCTCTTCCTTCAAGTGCTTGCCAAGTAAACTCTTTGCGGCCCATAATTCCTGTTCTTTGAGGCCTATTTGCTTTGATACAATGGAGAGCAATACTTCTCTAGTTTCGAGCATTTGCCGTGCCCTTCTGTTGCAAAGCCTGTTGTGGTGTAAGTCTGGAAGACGTCCCAAATGAGGTCCAAACGGTGCAAACGTACATTTTAATCAAGCTAATCCTGCAGTTTTGTGAAATAATCAGCCTCCTCCGGAATAAGATATGGCATTGATTAACTTCCATGATTAGCCCTTAACACAAATTGGAAAATTCGTTGATGTCATTGGCAAGCTTTATTCATTGTTATCCGGCCACGAGAAATTGTTCTATGAGGGACATTATTTCTCAAATATAAAATTATGACCTTGATACAGCATGATTGAATGACTGTGTGATGTAGCCTATTAGAATGCAGTTATATGCCACTAAAATTCAGGATTTAAGGGCAAACAATGCCCCTGTGGGTTTTTATATTTATATAATATGATATAGTTTAGCCAATGAAAATAGTTCCAAACAAAGCCAAACTGTTGTGCGTCTCAGAGAAACGTCTCGGTTAACGGAGGCTGCTCGCTGTCAATGGAGCTTTGTGAACGGATTGGCCACCTATTATTGAAAAATGCTGCTGCTGAATGACTAATTTTGGTGCTGATACTGCAACATTAAACTCGATTTTTATGTCTTCTGAAGAAAATGTGAGGGATGCCCCCCCCATCATAATCAAATTCCCTCTTATTTTCTTGCAGATTGTGAACCTCATTGAGGAAACGGGACACTTTCACATCACAAACACTACTTTTGACTTTGACCTCTGCTCTCTGGACAAAACCACAGTTCGGAAGCTGCAAAGCTACCTGGAGACTTCTGGATCATCTTGAAGACTTCACACCTCCCTTTTTCCCTCCTTTTGTTTTTTCTCCTAAATTGAAAACTTTTAAGGCAATGGAAAGGATCCGCTTTCATTCCAGAGCTCCTCTCGTCTCTCGAAAGGCCTCAGAAATCATTATTACATGAGTCTGGAGATTCTTACGCTCCACCTGGACTTCACCCAATAAGCCTTGATAATCCGACATTGCCAAAAAAATGTCTTGCTCCAAAACAAAATACATTTGTGTATATTGTATGAATGTTTGATAAGTTTTTTGTGACGAATGCATGTTTCAACACTGCCTTACCACATTGACTATTTATTGAGTATGAGTTTCAAGTGTGTGTGTGTGTGTAAGTGCAAATTATATTAAACTTGTGCAAGCACTTGAGAACATCATCTCGTCGGCAATGAAACGTCTCTTAACATCCACTGTTTTTATGGATCACAAGCAATGTTTTTCATGCTGTACATGTAAAATGAACGGTTTCAGATTATGCTGGACGGAGGAAGACTTTTAACTCTATTATATATCAATGAATTGCACATTGTCTGCAAACTCATTTGAAAGAAGGCAGGATCTTAAGCAAATCCAGTGACCTCTATCTCAAATGTTTCTTAACGTCGTTGCAGTAGGAAAGTGTAATGTTGAATCCTCTAATGTTATTTATTGTTTTTGGGGACCACAGTTCCCATGGCTGTTCATTGGTTGTCCCCAAAACAGTTGGAAAAAGCCAAGTCTTAATTGTAGTTTGGGAGTTCTTTGTTAATCTGAGGAAATCAAGAAGTGATCACAGTTAACTTTTCAGTTCCATTGTTTTTCTGTTTTTTATTGGATTATTTGATAGGCTAATATCAGCATATTGTGCAGTTGAGTTGTAGCCCTCAAGTTGTGCTTTGTGCAAAAGCAACATCGTTCACTTTTCATTTCCTTATAATGTTGAATCAGATAAGCCAACCATAAATATAGATATTTTGGGAGACACGGTGGTGGTGGTGGTGGTGGTGTGGTTGAGAAGGGTTTAGACTAAATAATTGACACTGTGAAGTGTTTGAATTTATCAGATCATTTTTTTTTAATTGTTTTTGTTGAATGAAAATCATGCCTTGTACACTTTATTATTGTTTATTTCCCAGATTCATTTTTTTCAGCCCAAAAAGCTTTTAGTTTAGTTATTATATAATGTTTATATGTGTAAAAAAAAGTGATTATCTTTCCTTTCTTGGAAGGCACCGACCAGCTTCCAGTAGAAAGTTCTTGATCATGATATAAATTCAAAACAGAGTCGTTGTGGATGTGTAGTTACTGACCAGTGAACATTTTATCATTGATGTTAGGAATGGTTTTTGTTTAATGGACGGGAATAGCTGGTGAATATACAATCATCTAAATATCCCTTGTGCTGTGCTGAATATCCTTTACCTAACTTGATATTCCTGTTATGACCGGCCTTTTAAAAATTGCTTGTAAATCTCTCATAATGCTATGTTATCATCAAATCTTGGATTCAATCTTGTATGCACTTTAGTTTTTGAGTAAAAAAGCATTATTTGCGGATAATTTTAGGATAATATGTTCACTCAAAATATGTGCGTAAGCTCAGATCAATGAGGCCCATGATCAGTCAGCTCCACAAAGTAACAGAAAACTTGTAGTAATTGAAAGAAAACAAATTGAAAAAAGATTGAATTCAATGATTGGTAATAACACAGCAAAATTATAAATGTATAAGCAATTTTTGTTGGCCGGTCATTTTAAACTGGGAAAAATCCCCCCCCAAAAAAGTTCAAAATGTATCCATTTTTGGGTGGAAAGTTGTTATACCATGTGTGCGCAAAGACAGTAAGTTTAAGTCCAATGTGATATCATTAATGTTAACTAGCAATTTTGTGGGGTAAAAATCCTCTATGGGACAAAATGACTGGAACACAACATGAGCAATAAACTTAAAAATATATTCATCTTAAGTAAAATAAATTGGGCCCTTTCTGGCATTGAAATGAAGAGCAATTTTTGTCAGTTCATCCTAGGAAAGTGAAAGAACGCGGTGAGTTTCCTCCTACCTTCCTCCTTCCCTCACGCATTCATCGTCACAACATTTCTGAGTTTTTCCCAGATGTGTTTTCGTCCAGTGACATGAGTTTGAATCAATAGATTATATGCAGTTGCTTCACCATGTTGTCATCCTTGGTGTTTGTTCATGTCTTGACAGTCTCATCAAAACCTTTTAAGAGTCCTTAGAGTGCATAAAAAAAGCAACCGCATATGGGGAAAAGTTCATGAACATGGTTTATTAATGCGTTAGACAGCCTGTGGTCAAATCCCTGATTCTTTCTCATTCTGATTAATGTTGGTGGTCTAGCTATGAAATGGGAAGGTACTCTAAAACATTGCTATATCCTAAAGTAGCAGCAATTTTTGTCAGTTCATCCTAGGAAAGTGAAAGAACGCGGTGAGTTTCCTCCTACCTTCCTCCTTCCCTCACGCATTCATCGTCACAACATTTCTGAGTTTTTCCCAGATGTGTTTTCGTCCAGTGACATGAGTTTGAATCAATAGATTATATGCAGTTGCTTCACCATGTTGTCATCCTTGGTGTTTGTTCATGTCTTGACAGTCTCATCAAAACCTTTTAAGAGTCCTTAGAGTGCATAAAAAAGCAACCGCATATGGGGAAAAGTTCATGAACATGGTTTATTAATGCGTTAGACAGCCTGTGGTCAAATCCCTGATTCTTTCTCATTCTGATTAATGTGGGTGGTCTAGCTATGAAATGGGAAGGTACTCTAAAACATTGCTATATCCTAAAGTAGCGCAGTGTCAGTTGATAGGTGGGGGTTCTTTATAATCCATATCATGCTGTCCCTCCCACCCAACACCTGTTCATTACTTCATAAATCTGAGCCATGAGCCAATTAAAAAAACCACAGCAAGTTAGATACCAGAGCTTTGATGGGTTTGGGCACAAAAAGTAAAAAAAATTAAATAAAATGTCCCAAGCGATGTTTTGAGACAGACGACTTTTCTTTTGGCCCCATCTGTTAACACACAGCAAAGCTATTCACTCTTTGAAAGCCTTATTAGGTCAAAATGGTCTTCCTGTTGAATAAAATGAGTACATTAATAAGTGTTCACCTTTTTCATTTTTCATAATTTACAGAGATTGTTTTATCTGATATGAAAAGCTTTTTTTCAACTGTGGCTCTTTCAAGTCCACCTCCTCAAATGCTGGACATTAACACTGCTCACGTTCATGGAGATAGTCTCGCACGGCGGGTAGTCTGTCTGTGTTTGAGACACACCAGAGGGAAATCATTGTGTCCCCTTCTTTCCCTGAAGCCTTCTAAATGACGAAGAACAAGAGGAAAGAAAAAAAACTGCTCTACTTTCAAGATCCTGGATTAACTTAAACCATTTCACAGTGTTGGGTGGGGGTTCACAGTCAGGACAAGCAGCGGGACATCCAGTTTGAGCTTCCAAATACCATTTCCTCCTATAAAAAAGAGGAGAGACCTTAGAAATCAGCTCCCACAGAAGACATAGCAGTACATTTGTCATCTTCCTGGCACAAGTCCGATGACCAGAGAAAAGATGCAGCGAAGCATTTGAAGGGCAGTTAAAATGGCATAAACTATGTCATTTAAAAGAAAGGGAGGTGAAAAGTCCTGAAATTCAGGATTTTCCAGCTTTAAATGGATTTTCCAGCTTTTTTTCCAGCTTTCCATTTCCATTTCAAAAGCCAGAAATTGGTTTATGCACCAGTGTTGTGAACCATTCACATCTGAAATTCCTCAACTTGAGTTGAATTACAGTATAACACACTGAAAAGAATTGGTGTAAAAACTATTTTCAATCAGAAACTGCTAGTGAATTTCACTATTCATTGCAAAGAAACGGCAGGCAACAAATTCAAATTAATGTGAAATTTTTAAGTACATTTTTGTTTAAAATCTACAGTGCAGAAAGCAGAATTGTATTTTAAATAACAGGATTCAAATAAATAAAATTATTACATTATTATTCAAATGAATGTCATAGATTATATATATATATATATATATATATATATATATATATAATGAAATTAATATTAAAATTAATAATTATTTTTAATTATTAAAACATTCAAATTGATATCGATAATGCAGAGAAATATGTAAAAGAAAAAATTTCAGGGCATAAATATTCAAAATTAGTTATTATTTATATCCTATAATTTCTTTTGTTGTGATTCAAATTCCAATTAATGAATTAAAAGTGAAACAATCGTTAAATTCTAAATTAAAATTGTTAAATTAAGCATAAAGATTTATCTCTCTGCTTTGGAGAAACTCCCTGTGAAAATTTTAACTGAAGCCACATTCAAGCTTCACAATTACACTGGAACAAAACCAGAGCAAATATTTGTCCATCTGTGTAATCTGTCGGCTCGCTCTGCATGGTCATCATGTTTGGGAGTAAGTGGTTTAGGCGGGAAATTAATCGAGAGAGAAAAACAAAAAAGGCCCTATCCCCACCTTCCTATTCTCTGAGTGATTTCATCCAGCAAGCCTTTAATCCTCCATTGTGTGCAAATGTGCACACAGTGACAATAATTCAAAGGTCTCTTATCATATGTTGTAGCTCAGTCATACCTGGGCCTCTTTTTCAGACGTCTGTTTGGTTTGACCTCCTTGTGAAGAATTCTGGGTGGCAGCTATGTCACTGGAAAGGCATACAAAATTAGCTTTTTCAAAAAAATCAGATCGAGTTATGTAAAGAACAAAAGTAAGCAGACTTCAAAGTGATGGAGAAAAAGGGAGGGATGTGAATAGGGGGACGTATCTTCGTTCAGGCTCCTCATGAGAGGAACCGAATATGGGCAAGTCGAGCGTTCCCACATGACCGGGTTTCCAGACGGCTGAGGATCTGATTATTATTCGATTATTTATTTCTTTACGTATTTCAGCCCCTGGTAAGCCCCCAGTGTGGGCCGGGACCCTTGGACTTGAGCCCAGTCCCAACCTGCTCTTTCATTGGACCAAGGGATGCTTTGTTCTCCTTGATGGAAGTTGGGTGGGCCAGTGACCCGTGACTCCTAGCCGGCCCACCCGGGTGTGAGAGTGCGCAGACACTCTCCCTCGCACACTCACAAAGCTGCACTTGCTAAATCCTCCTCAAAGGAGGGGATGGGGGGTCTTGAGAGAATTACCAAAAACAGCACTTATACATAGACACAATCTGGTTAAGACTGGAAGTAGCTCCACTCTTAATTGCTCAGTTTGCTTCTCGCCAATATTTAGGAAGAAGAAAAAAAACAAGGTTCCTTCTTCATTCCGATGATCCAGAAGGAACAATCTCTTCTTCTATTTGGATCCCATTCAAAGCTTTTCCCAGCAAGCTGACAAATTGCAGATTTCAAGCTTGCTCGCTCTCTCTTCATATCACCTCCTGCACAGAACAACAGATTTGATAGGAAAAAGCCAACCACTGCCAGTTACTCTACTGGGCGGGCTCACTTCCTAATGAATTGAGGACATCTGTGCTTCTAGTCAGCGATGCATCAGATGAAAGTCAGCCTTGCCACCAAATGGAAGCAATCATTTCTACTGGAATCCGCTGGAAGGTACAATATAGTGTAGATGTGATGCACTCTGTCTGTTGTAGGAGTCATATTTCCAAAGCATGAAAGGCTGACTATAGGGCAAAACCGACGGAGGATGTTTCAGTTAAGTTGGTTTGACATGAGCTTTCAATCACTACAAGCACAACCGTGGCCTCACGATCGCTGGTGTAAACGTCCAGTTCAGTCTTATCTTCACCCCGACCGCGCTGATATATTTCATTGCAAAGTTAAGCAAGAGCACAGATTAAAGGAGGAGCAGGCCTACAGTGGGATTCAATCATGTCAGGGGTTGCAACCTCGATCAGAACCTCACGGTTACTAGACTGAAATGGTTTGCCTTTAAATCAACGTTAAACTAGTGCTATCATGACGATCGTTTCAAGATTAGTGTAGATGTGATGCACTCTGTCTGTTGTAGGAGTCATATTTCCAAAGCATGAAAGGCTGACTATAGGGCAAAACCGACGGAGGATGTTTCAGTTAAGTTGGTTTGACATGAGCTTTCAATCACTACAAGCACAACCGTGGCCTCACGATCGCTGGTG